AGCCGAGGTGGTAGTTTCCGCTCGGTCTGCTCGATATCAGACCGCTTCAGCACTGGCTCCATGGCAGAGTCCCGAGGTGGGCGTGGCTACACGGTACTCACCGGGTTCAGATTACCCCGGCCTGACGCAGAACCTTCAGCCCGTGGTCAGATCCTTCGGGCAGGAGTGCCCCTTGAATAGGTATCCAGGCATGCTGTGGTGTTCACAGACACCTCGGCCACCGGCTGAGGAGCCACGTACAATGGGCACGCAGTGTCACGGATATGGACGGGGCCCCACCTGCGTTGGCATATCAATTGTCTCGAGTTGCTGGCAGTGCACCTTGCCCTGAGCCGCCTCAGAGGGCGCCTTCGGGGCAGGGACGTACTGGTCCGTATGGACAAAACTGCGACCATTGCTTATATCAACCGGCAAGGCGGTTTATGCTCCTGTCGCATGTCGCAACTCGCCCACCACCTCCTCCTCTGGAGTCAGAAGCATCTGAGGTCACTTCATGCTGTTCACATTCCTGGGCTGCTCAACCGGGCAGCCGACGAGCTGTCCCGAGCTGCGCTCCCCGCATGTCACAACTCACCTGCCACCTCCTCCTCTGGAGTCAGAAGCATCTGAGGGCCCTTTGTGCCATTCACATCCCAGGAGTGTTCAATCGGGCAGCCGACAAGCTGTCTTGAGTGGCACTTCCAGGGGAGTGGAGACTCCACCCCCAGGTGGTTCAGCTGATCTGGAGACGGTTCGGAGTTGCTCAAGTAGACCTGCTTACATCTCCAGAAACCACCCACTGCCAGTGGTTCTACTCCCTAACCGAGGCAATGCTTGGCATGGATGCACTGGCACACAGCTGGCCCCGGGTCCTGCGCAAATATGTGTTCCACCCAGTGAGCCTGCTCGCACAGACACTGTGCAAGATCAGTGAGGACGAGGAGCAGGTCTTGTTAGTGGCTCCATATTGGCCCAACAGGACCTGGTTCCCGGAACTCATGCTCCTTGCGACAGCCCCTCCCTAGCCGATTCCTAGCCGAGGAAGGATCTGCTTTCTCAGAGAAGGGGCACCCTCTGGCACCCGCGACCGGACCTGTGGAAACTCCATGTTTGGTCCCTGGACGGGATGCGGAGATTCTATGTGACCTACCCCAGGAGGTAGCTCTCACTATCGCTTCAGCACAAGCTTCGTCCACAAGACGGGCCTATGCGCTGAAGTAGAACCTGTTCGTCGAATGGTGTTCCTCTCACCAGGAGGACCCCCGGAGATGTTTGATCAGAGCCGTGCTTTCCTTCTTGCAGCTTGGGCTGGAGCGAAGGCTGTCCCCCTCCACCCTTAAGGTTTACGTTGCTGCTATTTCCGCCCACCACGACCCCATAGAGGGGAGGTCGGTCGGGAAGCACGATCTGGTCGTCAGGTTCCTTAGGGGGCCAGGAGGTTAAATCCTCCTAGGCCTTCCTTCCTGCCCTCTTGGGATTTGGCATTGGTGCTATGAGCCCTACAAACTGCCCCCTTCAAGCCTTTGGAGTCAGTCGAGTTGAAGTTTGTTTCTATGAAAACCCTACTCCTGACTGCATTGGTCTTGATCAAGAGGGTGGGGGACCTGAAGGCATTTTCGGTTGACGAATCGTGCCTTGAGTTTGGGCCGGCTGACTCTGCAACACTGAGACCCCGGCCTGGCTACGTGCCCAAGGTTCCTACCTCTCCCTTCAGGGACAAGGTAGTGAACCTGCAAGCGCTGCCCCTGGAGGAGGCAGACCCAGCCCTAGCTTTGCTCTGTCCTGTACGCGCACTGCAACAGTACGTGGATAGAACTCCTCCTGGGCACTGGCTCGTGGTGCCTCGCTAGCAGATGTTTGTGGAGCTGCGGGCTGGGCGACTCCTAACACGTTCGCTAGATTCTATAGCTTACGTATCGAGCCGGTTTCCTCCTGTGTTCTCACCTCAAACGGGTAGTGGCACTGAGAGGCCCGGTTCAGAGTCGGCTTGCGGCATCCTTAAAGCCTGATTCTCCAGAGAGTTCCCTAACCGGGCAAACCCTGTCGAGTCCTCCAGCACTCCAGTGGCCAGACGTGGCGGAGCGTCCGGCGCCAGGCCTTTCAGCCAATGAATTCCTGAAATCTGGTGTGAGGCTAGTGCCCATATGAGTGACCCTATTGGGATCCCATATGTGTATGTCCACGGTACAGTTACTAGGACCGTGTTTCCCCTGGCAGACCACGTTCTGCCATCTCTAAATGATGCAGCCTGAGCCATCTTAGAGACTTCCATGTGCAGTAGGGCCCTACGGGGTTACTCCACGTGAGTAAATGTCACTTAACCCCCTCTGGGAGGAGGTGACTCTGCAGCATGCCCCTTCCAAATGGATAGTGCATGCTTTCCCAGTGTTATCCAAGTCCTGCTGTTGTGTTGCGAGGAACAGCAGTGGTCGACCTTCTCTGTGTAGAGCCTGGTCCTATCGTCTGCCTTATAGAAAGGGTCAAGGGGCATACACAGGGCACTGGAGGGGGCAGCACCTGTGGCACGTTGGTAGGGATCCCAATTCGTCGGTCATCACTGACATGACGCCGAGAGTGACCAACTGAAAGGGAACGTCTCGGTTACATATGTAACCCTCGTTCCCTGAAGGAGGGAATGGAGACGTCACGTCCCGTCGCCACAGTTGCTGTACCACCGCTGATCTGCCGGGTCACTGGCTCGACTCCTCAGCAAAAACATGAATTAATGCGGTGCACCTGCTGCCTCTTATACCCGTGCTGCGGGGTGTGGCAGCCAGATGCGAAATCCGCATGTCAATGTCCATTGGCTTGTTTAGTTACACTTGAAGTGGATTGGTCTCTCTGGCGAGATCCCAATTCGTCGGTCATCACCGACATGATCATACGTAACCGAGACGTTATCTATTTTATCAGTTCAAATTTTTGTCAAAGTTTTCCTTTAAAAGTGTGTTTGCTCTTGTTAAAATAAATGCCACTTGGTTTGACAATGTTCATCTATTTTTAAGTGTGTCTTAAGTGTCTAAATTCTTTTTTGGGCCACTGTACATGGATAGAAAGTCAACAGAAAGTCAAAGTTTCTGCAAAATAACTGCTGTTGTGTCCTGAATGACTATTACGACACCACAGGACGTCAACGTCTCCAAACTCAGTGAGCTCTGTTATTTAGTTCTTCATTTATTCATGCAATGTGACATCTGCACTGTCTGTCATGTGTATTAGGGCGAAACATGTCTGATCTGACAGTCTGCCACAGCAAACAAGACTACAATCACAGAAAGAGGGGAAAAAAGAGTGCAGAAATCAAAAGGCACAATGAGTGATTTGTTCATATTGGAGGGATGTAATGCTGTACTTGACTTCTTTGAGTTCTTGAAGACTGAAACATGTTTCTCTGAAGATCTTTTAGCTTTAGCAGTTATTTAGGTGTGAGTACAGAGAGAGATGCTGCCACTGCCAGTCAGATAGATGATGCCGAGGATATCACGTTCAAAAAGAACAATGATTTATCACTTGTCTTCTGAAAAGTGTCCTTTAATTCACCTTTATAAAACAGATGGTTGAGGTTCTAAAATCTTACTGGATGAGCCATGTCTGAAGCCAATTTAATTAAGCAATAAAGTATGTGAAGTTGTGCTTTACAGTTACTATTTTCATGACTGTAATGCTGGATTGACCAATCAGCATCCCAGAAAGGCACAACACAGGCCGATATACACACAGGTCTACCTGCGGGACCACATATAAACTTGTATATTATTCTATGGTTTTTAATTCTGCATTCATTCTCTCTCTCTCTCTATATATATATTATATATCTATAATATATACTAGTATAGGAATGTTGGCAGCTTTTATCCTATTGCTGCTGGCTGTGCATGATTTAGTCATGCTTTATGTTTACATAACCATGCTTTATGTCTACAACACCCCTCAGAAACCCAATAAGTTTATCAATTTTATTTTCTGTGATGGCATATTTCCTGTTAATTATACCTGTATAAGTATTTCCTGACATTAGTGCTGGACAAAAAAACGTCTTGTTATTCTTCTAAATAAGGTTATTATAATTAAATAATTGGGTTGGGACATCTATATGGGTAGCATAAACTTGTGAAAATGATGTGTGCTTAATTGTACTGAATGTGCACTTGTATTGTACTTCAAATCTAAAAAGTATATTTTTAAAAACTGTTCTTGCAGATAATATATTTATGAAATAAAAGGTCATTTAAGTGTTTTTAAGTAGAACACACTTTCATGACTGTTTCTTAACACACTTAAGTCACTTTAAAAAAGGGCACTTTGTAAAATTAAAAGTTTTACTTTAAAGTACATTTTAAATAATTATGTTTTAATAATCTTTTGTCGTGCTTTAAAGAAGTACACTTATTTTGATTGTTGACTAACATACTAACACACATGTAAAGTACTTGATTATTGTTTTAACTGTAGTGTTATTCAGTATCACATCTACAGTAAATACATTTTAAATGTTCAAGTGTATTATTTCCACAATAAGTATTCTTTTTAAAAGTATGTTAAATTGTACTTCTTTTTCACATGACCTCAAAGCTAACAGATATGAACTAAAAGCGATGCTTTCATGTCATCTTTATGGTAAAATCACTGTAAAGAACAACCTGAAATGGCTTATTGTTATTGTTTTTAAAAGATAGTTCACCCAAAAATGAGAATTCTGTCATTTACGCACCTTCATGTCATTCCTATGACTTTCTATATTTTTGATAAACAAACAGTTTTGGCGACCGTTGACTTATATTGTATGGGGGATAATCAAGAAAAAAAAAAGGCATTTCTTGAAATATATTTGTCTATGCTCCACAGAAGAAAGTAAGTCATATAGTTTTGGAACAAAATTAAGGAGAATAAATGATGACAGTATTTTAACTTTTGGGTGAACTATCCCTTTAAATAAGCCGATAAGTTGGTCACCCTGTAACACAGTGATGGTTGGTTGTGTGTGTTTAACTGCAGTGGTCTGCTGTCTGCGAAGCTCTCACCAACTGTCAGCACACGTCAAAGCGGTGGGCAGAGCACAGCTCATCTGGATGAGATAGCGGGAGAGCCAGTGGGCGTGACAGTCTTAGGGTTTGGGGAGGAGCCAGATAAAACCTCCTCCTCAGGGACGGACTCTATTGCAGACAGTAATTGATAATATTCATCCTCTCCATCCAGAAGCTTGATCTGCCTGAGAAATGAGAGAGAAATATAAGAGGGTCACTGATACATTAAGCCAAACAGAGCATAAACTGTAAAAAAATATAGGTTCGGCTAATATAGGCTAAAAACTTGCTTCATGTAATATCTAAATTAACTGGATCTATCCATTAAAAATATTGGTCCCACTTTATATTAAGTGGCCTTAACTACAATGTACTTGCATCAAAAAATAAGTACAATGTACTTAGTGTTCATATTGTATTGCAAAACACTTTTGCTGCTATTGAGGTGGGAAACGGGTAAGGTTAGGGACAGGTTTGGTGGTATGGGTAGGTTTAAGGGTGGGTTAAGGTGTAAGGGATAGGTCAACAGTGTAATTATAAATGTAATTACAGAAATTAATTACAGATGCAATTACATGCAGGTATTTTTAAAATAAGTACAATGTAAAAACATGTATGTACACAATAAGTGCATTGTACCAAATTACTAATTTAAATGTAAGTACATAGTAGTTAAGGCCACTTAATATATAGTGGGACCAAAATATTAATTAATATAACTGAATTAACCTGACTGTATTAGGGTTTTTTAAGGGTGAGATCAAGTAGTTCCCTTTCGATACTTCACTCGTACTGCATCTTGCTTAAGATGCATATGGGAAAAAGCCTTTTTTCTCCTGAACTGAAGCCTATTTCATTCACGCAGTGAAACTGCACGGCCATTGGTTCGTGCAGGGCTTTAAAAACGAACCAATGGCACGGCAGCGGAGCTGCACGAGCCTATGGCGACGAAGCCCGCCA